TGAATAAATACTGTGAACGAAACAAACCAAAAACCCACCCCAGAGTGTAGATAGAACAACCACTTGTGGTTTTCTCTCTTTCTGGTTCTGTTCCTTTCCTTTTCCTTTATCAGTTTTCTTCTTCTTTACTAAGTTAGAAAAGTGTTCTTGCTCAAATTATGATAATTAAGATTCCCAAGAATTTGTCTGTGTCCCCCTGGCTTGCAGGAAGTTCTACTTCTTGCAGCATCACTAAGTGTAGAAATCATTACTGATTTTCAGTCTTTGTTCATTCTTGCTTCCTATTCTTTCTTCTTTGGTTTCCTACCTTAAATTATATTAAGTTCAACTACTGGAACTTTTTGCCACTTTATCTTTCCCTTTCACATACTGCTCAAAACATTTTGGTGAGCACTACTTTTAAGTCTACAATGTCAAATATTTCAATGACAACTTATGTTAGAAAATGCTGTGTTATCCTGTGTATTCACTAGTCCTGATGATACAGACTTAAAATCCTAATTAAGCCCTTGTCCTTATTATAGCTCTGTAATATTACAGAATAGCTTTTCATATAAAAGTAAATTCCTCCATGTTTGTGTAGATTTTTGAATGAAAGGTGAGGTTTTATTTTTTTTTTTAAGAAATCTTATGCAACTTCTGTTGGTAGCTCTGTGTTAGGTTATAATTGTGTTAGGTTTCATCACAACACTATGACAGAGTTGTTAGCACCAAAAATTTAGCTCCTTGTCATTTTATGAGCATTAGTAATGGGACAGACTTGGAGTTTTGGCACTTTAGTCACAAAAAAAAAAATCTAGAAGAGAGAATAAATAGGAAGCTGTTAGGCCCTTTTCCTATTAGGAAAATCTGTTGCTCTAAGGACTAGGCCTAGGTAAAAGAGCTAGGAAACAAAAATGTTGTAACCATGAAAAAAAATGTCATTTTAAGAACGAATAAGTGAGTCCCTCAGCCTGTATGTATTTACACATATACCATGTGTTTTTTTGCTTTAGTATTGTATAAACTAAGTGTCACTTTATATTTTTCCCTTCATGTAAGATGTATACAGTGTAAGGCCATGTTTACTCACAACTCATCCTAAGCAGGTAAAATTCTAAAACTATAAAATGTATATAATGTTTATTTGGGCTTATGACCTGGCTTCTAAGAGCTACTTCTAATATAGCCTTAGTTCATCAATTAAAATAGGAATTTGAGTAAATCCTGTCCGAAAGCCATTCTGAATACCCACTTACCCCTGAGCAGTAAGTAGATGGACCCCACTTCTCCAGGCTGATCCACTCCAGTGAGCAGCTTAACATGCTGAGTTGGGCTTATTCTTCCATGGGACTCTATCTACATCGGTATCCAAGCCCAGAGACATAAGGGATAAGAAAAATGATGATGTGGAAATGGGTCAGTGCTTTCTTTAGAGGACATTATTAGTAGCCGTAGCCTCTGAAATAAAATTGTTTTATGATATTCCAACACAAGTTGCTATAAGCAATCCTTTATGTAATTTTGATGGTGTTGAAAAAAACTCATTAGAGCGGGGTCCCCTCAGCTTTGGATATTAAATTGACATTGCCTATTGCTGCACATAGCAATAAAAACAAGTCTAGGATTTTGCAAACCCTAGAATGTAAGATTAATTCGGTGGGTCCCTGGACCTTTAATTATGGGTTGACAGGATTTATTTTCTTAAAATGAGCTTCATTTCATATTTATTATTCTCCTTCCCCTCTTGGGGAATGAAGTGTATATAAAATAAGCTTCTACCTACTTGCATTTATCTTCCAAACCCAATCTAGTAGGAGATTTTCATTTAAAAGGAAGGGGAGGAAGACCAGAGTTTTGCAAAAAATAAAAAATGGAGGAGAATGGGCACAAAACCTCAGGAGACAGCTGTTCTGCAGCTTTCTAGCTAACAACCTCTATGCTGCCTCTAGTATCTGTATTGTACTTCTATACATAGCCTTCAGGTGTAAGCCTTTTCTAGCAAGTTTTGTTATTTTGTTTTGAGTTCTTTTCCTGAGATTTTTATGAATGGCTATGGCACCACTGATGCTGCTGATATCTTTAAACTCATCAAAAAAGCAAGCACGTAGCTTAAGGCCACTATTGGCAAGGAAACCAAGTGTCCTCCGTGCCTTCTTTCTGTAGAGTAATTAAAGACATCTTAAAAAATCAGACTAAAAATTGTCTTGATACAACATGGTACGTATATACATTTGGAAGTGTGAAGAGGTGCTTTGTTGGAACTCAGCAGTAGCTCTGAATCTATTAGAGTAGCCTTTGTGATATACCTAAGTTTTCTGTGTTGGTTTTGCTAATGTATAATAGGAAAATGAAGACTTTAATTAGCTCTGGTATTGTTCATATAATTTACCAAGAAGCTAATACTAAACTTGTGAGAATATTATTTAAGTAGGTTTTATCAAGCAGTTAGAGTTTTTTAAGTATAGTTTTTAATGATTATATGAAAACTGAAGGAAATTTTAGAGGTATTTTAATGGTACAGGTAAAGGCACCAATGGCTGTTTGGTATCTACAAAAGCTTCATTACCTTATTTGATGCTGGTTGCTAAGCAGCCATTGCACAGAGTCAAAGTCTACTGGGTGCCTTTACCAGCAAGAGGCCGATGCTACACTGTTGTCATGTGAGGAAATAACGTGCATGCTCTTAACTGCTAAACAGGAAAAGAACCTAGAGACAGAGAAAATGAAGAACAAAACAAAAAGGTTAACTGAAATAAAACTTGATCAACATAATTGTATTTTGAAACATTCCAGGAAGGTTACTACTTGTCAAACTTGCCTGGGGTTGTTTGTTTAAAACTTGTATTTAATAAATGAACACCTGACTTACTGCCTTTGGTATCCCTTTAATGTTGTATTAAAAGCAAGTTTCAGAAATCTCTGAAAACCTGGAGAACTACCGCTTTTTTTAAGTAGGTAATATCAAGTGTGTGTGACTTGGCTGACCTAGCCAACCTCACCAGACCTCTGGAGGGGAGCCTGGGGCTAGCTCAGAAAATGAGTTACAGGAATTTTTTTTTCCTAATTAACTCCCTATTGGCTTTGATTATCTGGCCTGAACCCAGATCTTTTTTATTATCATGTAGGCCTTTTTCCCCTTGTTTCTATGGCATATAGGACCTCTGCCTAGATTAACCTAGTCATTTCCTTCTACTCTACTATCCAAGCTTTAGGCCACTGTTAGATGAGAAGTCTTTATAATGGGGCATCCAAACTTGTGGTCTCTAATACTGCCCAACAGCCCTTCGTGGATCCCTAACGGCTCTCCTCAAGGCACCTTCCAAGATTTTAATGGTAGAAAAGGAGGCTTAGAGTTTCTGCTTTCAAACCTTTCTCCCATTACCCCGTTTGTGAGAGAGGTCCTACCATTCCCAGACTAATTCCTTCATTTTTCTGCCTCTGCCCCTTTTTTAAGGTTTTTCTCTTGAGCTCCAGAGTCCTCTTTGCTTTTTTGACTCGTAATCTTTTATAGGCTCATTTCTTTACCCAACTGGCTTGTAAGCTTTTGAAACTGTTCTAGTTAATAGCAGAGATTTTTCCCAAGACGGGAACCAGTGGTTCATGCTTGTAATCTTACTCAGGAGGCTGAGATCTGAAAACAATGGTGAGAAGCCAGAAGTGGAGCTGTGTGATTCAAATGGTAGAGCGCTAGCCGAAAGAAAGAGAGAAAGGGGCCATGCGTTCAAGAGCCAGGGCACAAAAGGGAAAAAAAAAAGTTTTCCTTATTGCTAATTTTACTCCCCACTGTTCTTCACATGCTTTCATCAGATGGCTCACGCAGACCTGCACATTATCCTCCTGCCTTTGCCTCCTGGAGACTAGGGTTCCACAGGTGTTCCCCATTTAGCTATTCCCGCCCTCACCCCGTGCTTAATTTGACATCTCGCCATGATCTAAGACAACTCGATTGCAAGGCTCCTAGCCCCTTAGACACCACCTTGTTTTTTAGCCCGCTAGCTAGTCCATTCATTTGGTACGTGGCTGTCTTTTTTTTTTCTTTTCTTTTCGTTTTCCCAGCCATGGGGCTTGAACTGAGGTCCTGGGCACTGTGCCTGGACTCTTTTTGCTCAAGGCTAGCGCTCTACCACTTTGAAGTACAGCTCCACGTTCCCCGTTTTCTGGCGGTTCACTGCAGGTAAGAATCACGGACTTTCTTGCCCGGGCTGGCTTTGACCCACGATCCTCAGGTCTCAGCCTCCTGAGAAGCTAGGGTTACAGGTGTGAGCCACCAGCGCCTGACTCCGGTGTACCCGGAGGGATTCCTAGGTGTCCCCGGATCAGCATCAAGCCCACCCTGACACGGATGCTCCCTCTGCGTTTACACTGCAACCTCTTCAGATCCCAGCTCCCTCCACCACTCCGAAAGTGTGGAATCCCCGTCTCGATGGGGACCCAACCTAACACTCTCCGTGCGGGGCCCTCGGTGGTTTCCTCACCAGCTCCTAGCGGCTGGTGACCGAACTGGGAGACTCGGGCCCAGCCCAGACTCAAACCGAGGACGAGGGGCGGGGAGGGGCCCGGTTACAAAACAAACTGAAGAAAGGCACAGGATGAGACCCAGGACGCGGGGCGCCTACTTGCCCCTCAAGGCCTCGGTTAGGGCTTGGACCCTTCGGTCCCTAAAAGGAGTGCGCTGGTCCCGGAGGACCCCCACGACGTCCCCTAAAAGCTGCAAAACGCCCTACGCAAGAAAGCAAAGGTCGGCGCCAAGGAAAGCAGCGGCGCATGCGCATTTCCTTCCTTCGCCAGCCTTCCGGGCCCCCGTGAAGGGCTGCCCCAAGATATGCCTGTTTCAGTGCCAGATCCCACCTCCGTCCACAAGTCCGCCTTTCTCGTCTTTTCGCATCTCTTTTCTCCTCTGTCGCTGTAAAACAACGAGTGCACCATCCGTACCCCACGAAGATCGTAGAACACCGGAATATTTTGGACCGGCACGGAGCGGGGCGGCCTGACCTTGGAAGTGGGACGGGGTCCTGCCGCGGGTCCTTCCGGGGAGTGACATTCACCGGCCGTTCGGGGAGAGGGACCGTCCGTCCTGGAGCCATGGCCCAGTTCGTCCGCAACCTCGTGGAGAAGGCCCCGACGCTGGTGAACGGTGAGTGGACGCGCTGTGAGCCCGGGAAGAAGTGGGCGGTGGTGGGCCCGAGGCGCCTGAGGGAAGCGGGGCGGCCTGAAGAGAGACGGGTTCGAGACTGCCCTCTAACCTTGTGCTCGCCTGGCCTGCACCCGGGACTCTCCTCACCGCCTGCGAATGCCGGATCCCCACCACCGCCGTGACGAGGGGCAGGTGCCCGGCAGCCGCCGCCGCCGCTCCCCGGGGCCCCACCTGAGGTCCGTGAGAACGGAAATGCAGGTGAGGGGAAGGGGGCGAGAGGCCCGGAGCGCGGGGAGGGGCGGCCTGCCGCTGCGGGAGCTTCGGGGGAAGTGAACTGGGGAGCGCCAGCTTCGCTCTGTCCTTCCTTCCTGGCCCGATTCGGAGGTGCTTGTGCATAGTCGGCGGGGAAGCTGGGGTGGAATCGGACCTTACGGATGAACATGCCTGTCCCGGAAGCGGGTACACCGTAGTCTTTATCGTTGTTTTGTTGTTTGGTTGGTTGGTCGTGGGGCTTGAACTCTGGGCCTGGTCACTGTCCCTCAGCGCTTCAGCTCCTGGCGAGCGCTCTACCGCTTGAGCCACAGCGCCACTGCGGTTTTCTGGTGGTTAACTGGGGATAAGAGTCTCATGGTCTCTCCTGCCCGGGCTGGCTTTGAACCGCGATTCTCAGATCTCAGCCTCCTGAGTAGCTAGGATGACAGGCCTGAGCCACCAGTGCCCGGCTAGTTTTGTTGGGGGTTTTGCTTGTTCGTTCGTTTGTTTGAAGTGCTTCTCTGATAGAGCCTCACTGTGTTTTAGAACGACCCCGAGTAGCTGCAAGCCGGCTATTCTGTCAGTACATTTTTCAGTTGTCTTCTGAGTACCAGGTTATTTATTCATGTTACTTCCAAAATGAGATATATCGACATTTCTTCATTAGCTGTTCTGAAGTGTGGTAAGTGGTTTTCATTCGGATTTGATTACTAAATGTGAATAAAAACAATTTCCAAAAATGTAATGCTTTTGATCCTATTTTGTTGTATTCAGCATTATCTTACTCCTCTCTCTGTCTCTTTTTTTGGTCAATCTTGGGGATTAAACTTAGGGTCTGGGCACTGTTCCTGGAGTTCTTTTGCTCAAGGCTAATGCTCTACCACTTTGAGCCACAGCACCACTTCCTGTTTTCTTCTGATGGTTAATTGGGGCTAACAGCCAGGCCTGGCTTTGTGCCCTGATCTTCAGATTTCAGCCTCCTGAGTAGTAGGATTACAGGTGTGAGCCACCAGTGCCAGGCTCTTTTCTCTCCTTTCTTTCCATCACCAATCAAAAGTAGTTGAAGAGGGCTGGGAAGGTGGCTCAGTGGTAGAGCGCTTGCCTTGCATGCCTGAGGCCCTGGGTTCGATTCTCAGCACCACATAAGCAAAAAAGAAAAAAGCCGGAAGTGGTGCTGTGGCTCAAGTGGTAGAGCGCTAGCCTTGAGCTGAAGAGCTGAGGGACAGTGCCCAGGCCCAGAGTTCAGGCC